ATGAGACAATACATTGAATTTTATGTAACTGGAAAATTATGTAATGATGACTGTAATACCTGATATAACTAGCGAGTGATTTATCTAAATTCATGGTACTTTGTTGTCTTTATTTTTATATATTTTCAATTAGTGAATGGATATTTCTCAGATAATCTATGATAATAAATAGCAAATATATGTTTTAAGCCTGTGTCTAAGAAAGATTCCCTTAGGCTCTTTGCAGTGTTTTGTTAATACACATTCATTTTAAATGTCTTGTTGGCACCATGGTATGTATCATTTATCTTTGTTATAACTATAGTAATGCCTTCTCTTGCTTAATTCTTTCTTTGCTATCATGTTTTACATTAGGGTTTTATTTGGCCTTAAGCTTCCTGTCCTCCCCATAGCAGTCAAAATAGCTTGCTTTAGAAACTAGGCAACCACATACCTAACTACTCAGGCAGAAGATGAGTATTTTGCAATTTTAAGTGCCAAATAATCTTTACTTCTAAAGCATAGTTTTTATTTTTCATAAGAAGATTATCAACAGTATAGTAGTAAAATCATTTCTATTTTGCATGTTATTTTCTCAAAATTTAGTCTATATAGTAACAATTAGTCTTTAGGAAAATAAGTATTGATTAACTCTAATGTAAGCCAAATTGAAGGGAAGTCTTTAAATGTTGAACTTTTGGAGGATGTAAGGAGAAAGTAAAAAAAAGGCTTTTCCTCTCATCTCTCTATTCTCAAAATTTGAGCTATCACAGATTCTCCCCATATAAGAGAACAATCATTCTAAACTTAAAAGCTCAATTTAAATTATGCCGTTTATTCCCTCTTGAATAATGGAAGTTTGGGTTCAGAACGGCCTCTGAGCCATCTGAAACTGACATCAACTACCTTATATAATTAGAATAAACAAAGTTACAAAAGTCAAAATGACATTTTAAAAATACATTATGGGTAAAATTTTCTTTCTTCAGGTTTTTCATACCATTCTTTTCATTTGGATGTAAACGAAATTAGAACCTGGTGGTGTAGCATTGCTCAGTTTCCTTTGGTAGGTACCTCCAAACTATTTTACTACCTTTTCAATCCCTGCTCACACCTCCTTTCCAAAATGCCAAATCCAGCATTCTTCTGAAATTCTTTCTCTCCCTATACTTCAAAACAACTATTTATGCACTAATACAATATTTGAATAATACAAGCTCAGTCTTGACTACTTCCTCCAGGCAGAATTTTCAAACCAGGAAATTACCAGCATTCTTTTTAACTGGTGGCATTCTTGTGTAACATGCAAAACATTTAAAAGTGTTTTAAAAACCTGTATAGCATTTAAAGATGGCAAGACATATTGAAGACTAAAAGGGGATATTGATTTGGTCCCCTCCCACCCTGCTCATCTAATGGTTGTTACAGATTTTTGCAGATTTGTTTTATCTACTGCATTAATTCCTCTTTAATTTTATATGGTATTCCTGACAGATCTTTGAAGTTCAGGAAAAAAGGAGAAATAACCCATATTTGGCTATCTTTTGCTCCCCTCTTATGCAGGCCCCCTTACAAAGCCTTGTCTTTAATTAACCATTTATTTTAAGGGGTCCACAGGAGTTGTAACATGTGTTCATAAGTACATCCTGTCATTTCCTAGTGAACATTGTCTGTTTTCTTCTCATCTTCCTCACTCACTACATGCTAGATAAGCTCTCCTAGTCCAGGTGGTTCAGATTGCTCCTTGGCCACCGTATCTACTTTTGCTGGGCACAGATCCTGTTTTGTCTGGATGCTACCATTCTCTCTGAGTACATTATTACAATGGACTCACATTTTGCTTACTTTCTGCTGGGCACCACCTTTTGCCACCAATTCTCTGTTCTCATACCCTATGTTCTCTGTGGGGCCACAAGAGAGGTCCTTTATATAATGCAGCAGGAGAATGCCTCTTGCCTCCTTTTGTCTTGCACTTTTTAGTAGGAAACTAGAGCAATATTATTTTGTAGATCAGAGCATTTGGAGAAATAGCTTGTACATTTTTCTCAGTTTTCCTATGCCCATTGGAACTCAGTATGAGTTCTGGGGTGCTGAGCTGGAAGACAAGTCTAGGTTATAAACTCTTTTCAATTTTATCTATCACTTTCCACCATGCACCTGGATTTACTGTTATCTTCAGGACACACCATCCTTTTACTTAACCTACTATGTATGCTCCCTCCCATATCTGTGTGTACTCCAACACAGCAGACCACTGGGGTTGCCAGCCTAGCCTCTGTATAGATTCAGAGTCTGCCTCTACCGCGTTTCTGTCCCAGTTTCCTCATTATAGGAGTAACAATACTACCTCAATATGTAGCTATGAGGACTAAAGCCTGTTCAGACCAAGTGTTCAGTGTTGTTATCTGTTGTTATTGTCATCAACATCATCTGACTGGTGCTTGGATAATGTTCTTTCTTGGAGGACTCACTAACATTTCATACCTTCTCTGTAGCTTTCTCACACCCCACTGCTTAGGCAAGATTGGGGCCCTCTTTATGCTGCTACATTTTTCACTCTGCCATTTCAATTTGTGGCACATTGTGTCTCCTTAGTTGAACATGCATCTGTTTTGTGATGATTGTAAGTGCACTGAGGTCCTGTAAAGGTGACAGAAGGGCCAGGGAAGTTTGTACTATGTCTACACTTACTTTGGATTATCACCCATATTAATAATATGGGAAATAATTTTTGTCCCTGCGATAAAGATATCTTAAGGAGGAATTCAAGTATGATGTACTTGATGAATTGTAAGAACCTTTGTAAATGCTACAATGACCCACATCCAGCACAACAACAAAAAAACAATAAATAAAGACATCTTAAAGCTGAGCACTGGTGGCTCATGCCAGTAATCCTAGCTACTTGGAAAGCATAGATCAAGAGGATGGTGGTTTGAGGCCAGCCTGGGCAAATAGTTTGTGAGACCCTATCTCAAAAATACCCAACACAAAAAAGGGCTGGTGGAGTGGCTCAAGTGGCAGAGCACCTGATTAGCAAGCATTAGGCCCACCCAGTCCCAGTGCTACCCAAAAATAAATAAATGAAAGATATTTTAAAATATTTTTCAAACTTTTGTTTTCTAGAAGTTTACAGGAAAGAACATTTCTTTTATGATTTTTATAAAGAATCTCCATAGTTTAAATTATAGTAATTTAGTTTAGTATTTCTAGTATATAGCATCTAGTAGAAGAGTTTTGAAAGTTAAATAAGTTTCTTTTAAATATTTATAAAATGTCAACTTTTTTTTTCTGCTTTAGATTGGCCTTCTTGCAGTTAATCCAAATTGATGAGGTGCTACTTGATTTAAATAAAAAAGGGGGAGGAAGGGGTTTTGCCAGACATGGTGGTTCATGCCTTTAATCCTAGCTATTTGGGAGGATGGTAGTTTGAGGCCAAGCCAGGCAAAAACTTCAGGAGACCCCATATTAAAAAATAAAAGCTGGGTATGGTGGCACCTGTCATCTCAGCTACAGTGGGAAACATAAACAGGAAGATTGCCATCCAGGCTGGCCTGGGCATAAATGTGAGACCTTATTCAAAAAATAACTAAAGCAAAAAGGGCTGGGGGCATGGCTCAAGTGATAAAGTACCTGCCTTACAAGCCTGATGCCTTGGGTGTTCAAACCCAAGGATCACCATAAAAACAAAACAAAAAATAAACAAAAGTGTCAATAGTGTGTAACACTAGCTCCTGATAATAAAGTAGGAGGAAATATAGGATGTACATTTTCACTCTCTTGGTTTTTTTTTTTTTTTAATAAAGATGAAGTTAAAGTAAATGGATGGACCTGGAGAACATCATCTTAAGCGAAGTTAGCCAGACTTAGAAGGCCAAAAATTGTATGTTCTCCCTCATACGCAGACTTTAGACCTAAAACAAATGCAGTAATATTATTGGACATGGGTTACATGCTAAGGTGAGAATGCATACAGGAGGAATAGGGAAAGGAAAGGAAACCTAAAACCTGAAAGTGTTTGATGTACCCACTGGTAGAGGAGTGAATAAAGTAATCTTAATCTGACAGAGGCCATAGTGGGAAAGTGACCGGGAAGTAGTGAAGAGGTCTGGTAGAGATGAACCAATTTAGGTTGTAATATACATGTGCATGGAAGCAATGCTAGGAATCTCTCTCTATATAGCTATCTTTATCTCAAGGTAGCAAAAATGCTATGTTTTTCTTATTATCTCTTATGTTTTCTCTTTAACAAAATTGGAGAAGAGGGCAGAACAGGTTCTGCCTGGCAGTTAGGGCGGTGGGGGAGAGGGAGGGAACGGGGGATGGGTGGGGAGAGAGGCCCAAACAATGTATGCACATATGAATAAATGAATAAATAATAAAAAATAAAGATGCAGTTAGACTATCTGGATCCATCATGGCATGCAGATTAACAAACTAATCTGAATGTTAATGTGGTTTCACACAGTTTACTTTTTTTCCTTCTTTTTTATTGGTGTAAATTAATTGTCAGTTTACTTTTAAGTAATTATGTCTCTTAAAATAGTAGTTATATACCATTTACCTTTCAAATTCCACTTTAATTATCCTGTTTATTTGTGGGAGATCTTAAATATTTGTTTTATATATTAAAAATGCACCACACATGTGCTCATGCTAAATAGCTACATAACAGACCTTTCTTTTCCTAAAAAATATAACTTAAAATGCTCAAATACTAAATAATTCTAAATATACTCAGAGCCTTAAACATATGCTATTGAAAACCCAAATATGTATATTCTTACCACATTTCTTAATGTGATGACATTCTAAATCCAGGAAAAGAAATATATATTTCCTTTTTCTAGAGTTTATTTCTAGATGGTTAACCAAATACATCAAAGCATGCTTATTCTAATGTGCCATATCTCAAATATCAGTAGTGGCAATTGATTCTTTTTACTATTTCTAAGGGCTCTTGGCTTTATTGGCAATAGAAGATAATTAATTGGCACCTCTTTTTACTTATTTTTAAACAGGAAAAAGATTCCTTCTGCCATCAGATGTCTTTCTGCTTGACTGAACTGCACCTGTGGTCTTTGAAGAATACCTTACACATTGGGGGTAAATGAGCTATGGATTAATTTCAGTATTTTTCAAATATGTTATGCCATTACAAATAAGTACTAGCAGAGGTTAGCAGCTAGAGTTAGCTAGCTTGATTCTGCAGCTGGAGTTGGATTCTTTTTTTTAATCCTTAGTGAAAAATTACCTAATAGAAAATAATTCTATTTAATTGCTCTTATTAACCTGTTTTCATTTTTTAGTTTTGAAAATTAACTTTATTAGCTTAGTGTTTGTTTCCTCTGAAGATGCACACGTTTATTTTTTTCTTGGGATTGTTCATAATAACTGATTTCTAATCAGATATTTACAGACTAGTTAATGGACAAAATATTTCTATTTGATATTAAAATAAAATTTCAAATATATTGCTAAGATGAAGAATTATTTTTATGTTCTTTGTGTTTCTCATTTCTCAGGAGGACATTTTTTATTGACAGGAAGCCTGCCTTATTCACAGACTCATTACATGTGGTTTTGGTAGAGCACAGTCAAAAAAATACAATAACTTTTTCAAAATCAAAGAAATTTAAATTCCTGTATGCACATTACACAGTTTTATTGATGTAGAGAGGCTCTCAGTGAATCTGCATTATCATCAGTTGTGTTTAAATTGTTGTGTGATATGCTGAGTGTTTCCCTGCCCTTAATTTTGTGAAAATATGCCTCCCAAAAAGCAAATAGTGCCCCCAAAGCAAGGTAAAAGTGAATGTGTTTAATTTAAGTGATAAAGTGAGAATTTGAAATCTGATGAAAGGCAGCATGTCTGTTGTAGAAGTCAGGTGGCATCATGGAAAAATGAATCAACCATCTGCAGTGTAGCACTGAAGTGTGTGCATCCTGAGCATTCATGGCTTTTCCTCAATGGCACTCTTCTTGGAACCATATACCTGTGGATACCAATGGTCTTTTATATCATTACTAAGAAATGATATAAAATGCAAAGTATTATTTCTTAATATTGAATGTGTAATTTCAGATGGATATCATATTTACAGTAAGTTTATTTTTCCTTAAAATATATATAGAATTTGTAGTTAAACAAAGCTTTAACACACATTTGCTTCCTTCCCAAACACTTCTGAAAAAAGAGTAAATGATTAAAATAAACAAGGCTTAAACTCACAAGGACTAGGAGAATAGGAAAGGGGCAACTACAATCAGACAATTTTTAGAAGATGAAAGGTGTAAAAAATTAACAGATTTGGAAGATCTGAATGTCAGTTGTCTGCAGCAGAGAATTTCAATGACAGCCCATTTGTATCTCAAAAGATATTACAGAAGATAGGGATGTGGCATGAGGGTGACAACAAAGGGACTTGAACATCTGCTTAAGAAGTAATAAGACACCTCATGCTGTGGAAACATTTAATTAAGGAGGCCCTAAAGTTTGGGACATCGATGGAGAAGACCTTTTAATGGTAAATAGGGATGAAATGGAAATCATCATGATGATGGGTGAGGTCCTTAAGGGTTCTCTGGTTGTCATATTCCACTGCACACTTTCTAAGAAAGAAGGAACTCCTCTCTATAGTAACTGTATGGCCTCAGGGAGAAGATGTATTCACACTGACATTAGAAGGGATCCTACAATGAAATACCCTTGTCCTTGTCTGGCTCGTGAACCCCAATGGTTGGTAAGCCCTATTTACATATTCAGAGCTTCCAGTCAGCTTTCTAGTGCCTCAATTGTGAATATGAACAGAGAGCTAAGAATCATCAGATATTTGAGAAATGCCTTCAACAGGAAAGAAAACAACAAATAAATAGGTGACAGGATTTCTGAAGAAACAAAACATGTAGCAACAGAAGAGAAAGTGCAACAGAGATCTAAAGGAAGATACTGAATCCATGAAGCAAGAAACAAAATACAGGGTTCATTTAAATTTTCTCCATTTTACTACTTTTACTTTTCTTGTTCTCAAGACAGTGGAAAACACGGGATTCTGATATCTTTTAATTTATTTACTTACCCAATCACCCTTGTACAATTTCCTATCTCTGTAGCTACTTTCTCCCTTGTGTGGATATCCTTAGCCCAGCTGGGTTTTAACACACCAAGTTGGACAGTTCTCATTTGTTCCCTGTTCATCTTGTTCAGCTTCTAATACTGACACTAGGCCATTATCCCCATGTGAATGTCCTTTGTATCTACAAAGGTTCTAAGATACAACGTCAGGCTGCCTGTGCGTGGACACCTTCCTCATCTAGTTCTGGCACCGCTTGTTGGGTAGGTCTCCATATTCTGACGCCTTCCTTGTCATTCTTAGGTTCCTACTCTGGGCCAGATGCAGTAAGACAGACTTATGTACACAATTCAAGGTTCCTTATAATCTTTGTAGTTCTATTCTAGGATTTTAGTAAATATTTGGATGTGTGGAATAATGCTATAATTATAGACCAGATATTTTGATAGAGGGTATTGCCTGTATACATAATGTTTGTGGTTCTTAGCTTTAAGCAACAGTAACAAACTTTTTAAATTGAAGTATAAAATAAGTACTGAAAAGTGCTACAGATTTATAAAAGTATGCTGTGAACTATCAAAAAATGAACACACCCATAAAAATCATCACCCAGGTGAAATAAAATACTATCAGTACTCTACTTATCACTTCTTCCAATCAGTCCTTAGTGGATATTTTCAATCTCACTGGTAGAAATAAAACTGCACTCTTTAAAATCATAATAATAGTCTCATGAATTAAATACAGCTTCAGTAAGTATACTGTTTGACTCTTCTGAAAGCAGTAATACTTTTGTTGTTGTTGTCATTCAATTTGACAAAGTTTGGAGCAGTCACTAGGGGGCAGCCTGTACTGCTTCCACTTTTTGAGAAACAGTTGTATCCTCCTTATGTTAGTTAACTGAGAATTATTTTTGCAAGGAAGAAAACAAATGTTACTTCAATGAAAGATATATTTCATTATTCATAGATATGGTGAAAATGGACAAAATTATTCTGTTCTGTGTTTAAATTGCAAGAACAGATTCCCAACATCTGGGGAGCCTTGCTTTGCCCCTTACCTTTAACCCAGCAGAGCATCTGAATTTGGATGGGTTTGGAAGCTTTTTGAATCTAAACAAGTTTCAGATAATAATTTATCCATACCTCCCTATAATCCTGTCTCTCTTTCCTGCAGATTTCCTCCCAAATGCTGTAGGATGGGAACTAGACTCTTGAGCTAAATTGGAGAAAAGCAAGCCACAGCCTGGAATCCAACAGCTAGGGCATTTTCTTCCATCCACTGATTTCATTTGGCATTGCTTAGTGGCAGTTCCTTTTGGTAGCGCCCTGCGAAAAATATCAGAGGAAGTGTGAAAGAGAAAACTTGGTCTTCCTTGATTTTTCTTTACTAATCTTTTTCTCATGCCATTCTAGTTCTGTTTCCTCATGCCATTCTAACTTTTTCTCATTAGATTGATAAACTTTCCAGTTTCTGCATATCCTTAGAATAGATGAACCCATGTCCAGATGCTTTTGAGCTATTTTATTTCTAGTAACATAAGGAGACTGTTTCTGTTCCCCTCCCTACCCTTCCCTCCAATACAGTATGGTTTGGCTTCTTATTCTCCAGAACTTTTTACCATAATTTAATGTTATTTCTTTCTTTCTATAGATAGAGACATTGGCATCTACCAGTATTATGACAAGAAAGATTCATCAGGTAATGTACCTATTCTACTCAGCTAGTTTTTATAAACTAAATATTCTAAGATGACCACTGTAAGTTGGCCATTAAAAACCCTGCTTTTATGGGCTTAAATTCTAGAATTTTAAGAAAGTCACTATCGTTCTTTAGAAAAATGCTACATTGATATCTATCTGATCTATATAAAATAAAGCAATCTTGAGAAAATGCCATAGAAGAACATGAAAATTTTCATTTTACTGCTGATCAGGCTGATAACGGGACAGTCATTCACGTTTATTTATTGGTGTCCCAGTAGAGGGCATTGTTAATGCATGGATCCTGCTGATGTTGGCCTCCTGGATCCTCACCTGATATCTGAAATAGGCATTTCTGAGTGAATGATCAATTTTCTTTATCTGATTAGTCCTGTTAATCCCAGAAGTTTTATGATGGGCCAAAAGGTCTCCCTAGCTAGAGTTACTTCCTGTTCTAGTCTCTGTTGAAGTGGGGCTGTGTGAGCTTCCTGTATGCTTAGCGTGGTGGTTAATAGGCTGACTTCGTGGCTCTGATGATAGACTGCAGCAGCTTCTCTTCTGGGCTCGGTTGCAGTTCCTTTCCCTATCTGATGAGATTGGAAGCTCAGGATGTTGGCCCACCTGTTGTGCTGTGTAAGCCTTTTCACTGCAAATTTAGGAAATAGCTCTAAGACATGAAGAGATCTACATTGTGGCATTTTCTCAACTGTCCTTCTTAAAGTTTAGTATCATTTATTTGACTCAATAATATGTATAATAATCTATACAAATGTACATATTAAAGCACAAGAGATTATAATAAAAATAAACTCCACTTCTTTTCTTCTTTATCTCTCCTCTGCCACAATGTCAGCGACAGAACATGGTAACTTAGAGGAAAAGCAGAGACTGGCAGAATGTAAGCTTACTTCATATTTTTTTGGAGTCATTATAAAACTGAAAAATCCAGTGTTACAAAATATTCAGCTTTCTTCACAAATTGGAACTGTTATTCTGTCCAAATTTCTTATAATTACATATTCCCATTATTTATGTACATGAACTTATGAGTAACAGTTATATTCGTGAGATTCTTCTAATTTAGGAGATTGAAATCTCTATTCTGTCCAATTCTGGTAAAATAATATGCTTATGTAAATATAAATTTTCTTAACAAACTGTATTTGAATTATGTAATATATTTAAAATACATATGCCATGCTTAAATTCTGATGATAACATATAATTATATACTTTGTCTAAATTGTTAATACATTTTACAAAAATTAGTTTATGTTATCAGTGTTAGCATTTTATTTATTCTAGTCTTTTCTGGTCTTGAATATATAAATGTTTTATATGGATATATATATATACACACATTTATATGATATGGCTACAATACAATGTGGTTTTAATGACTTAAATGTAATTTAAGACTATTTGGAATATAGCTAGAGATGGAAATCCCACTTGTTCTCTTGATTTAAATGGTTGAACTGACATTTAATTTTTAGAATACTGTATTAGTAGCTTCAACACAGACTTTTTTTGAAATGATTTAAGATTGTTTTATTTATATTTTGACTCTTAGTGACTAAGAAATCTGAAGTCAGTCTTTTCCTTCTGTGCCTTAGTCCTCATCTGCAGAACTGTGTTTGTAGGATCAGAACTTGGGTGCAGATAGCCAGTATGCAGTGCAACACAGATTTTTAAATTTGTACATATGTTCTACACATCAAAATTATGTTTACAGAGCCAAATTAATTTGCTGAAATAAGACTTATAGCAAGTATACTCTCCAAATTAAAGATCTATATATGCTACATGTATTATATATATGTACACACAACATATATATACTATGTACACAACTCTTTAGAATTATCAATTAGGAAAATTCAAAATAGATTTCATTTTTCTCATAAAATACATATGATGAGTTTCACATTTTATTATGATTTTTTGTGTGTGTGGTGCTGGGGATGTAAGCAAGGGACTTCATGCATACTAGGAAAGTACTCTACCACTGTGTTAAACCCTCAGCCCAATTTTATTAATTTTTAAAAGAGAACTAGTTTTAGTTTATCTTAGGCTAACATTGTGACTGTACTAAATAATTTAATTTTTAAATTAAATTTATTTGAAACAAATCAAAGGCATATCATTATTGAATTGTCATGTAGATTTTAAATTACACGCTAATAGTGCGTAATTTGTTAAAACTTAGATTCCTGTTTTTTCCCTATAATTTTAGTGTATGATGTTAAATTCATATACTTAATTTTTATAAATCATGTATTTTATTTCTTTCCTCACCATATTTATTTATTCATGAGGATTCCCAAGGTCTGAGTAGATCACTTGTAGTATTTGGAATGTCTTTGGAATTGAACACTTAGTTATTTACATGAAGAAGTTTCTGAGATGGTAAAGAGTGGGTCATTTACTATTCAATACTACTAGATTCACAGGCCCAGCAGACTTTCCCAGGGATTCTTTAGGACTTGTTGGTTGTCATCATAAAATTATCATTAAGGAGATTGTTTTGTGGTAAAAATCCTGTTTCTATGACAAAGCCTTTTAAAAGGCTGTCATTTGATGATGGAAACGAAGCCCACTTCCTCCCAGTTACGGAGGTGTTTTATTTTAATCTTCCTAAGACACACTGCTAAGCAGAGTTTCCTTTTTAAAATCATGTTTAACTAACTGTAGTACATGTTTTATTTGCCAGCACGAGATTATCCTTGGACGCTCAAAAATAGACGCCCAGAAAAACTTCGAGATTCACTCAAAGAGTTGGAGGTATCTTTCAAAAAGTTTCAAAAATGGCAACAAACAAATCTGTTTTAAAACATCTTTCAACAGCTTTAATTTTCATAAAGGATCAATTTTCAGGGTGATGATAGGTTTGCTTTTGTCCAGTGAGAAGTACTAGAACAGTTGCATCTTTGTGTGGCATGTTGATCTTTTTTTTCACTTGTGAATCAAAAGCACTTTAACTGATGATGACAATGTGTGTAGCCAACTGCACTCTCTCTTTTTCTGTTGTCCTCCAGGAACTGATGCAAAACAGTCAGTGTGTGCTAAGCAAATGGAAGAACAAATATGCCTGTCAGGTAAAATGGTTTGACAAGCTTTTGCAGTGTTTAATCAATGGAGCTGAAAACTATGTAGTAATTGGTTTTCTTGTGTTATGATAGATAATGGACAAAAACTTTTTAGAAGTGGAACTTTCATAGTTCAAATTTTAGTTATTCTAGAATGAACATTAGCTAGATTGTTACAGGCAACCTAATTAATCAGTATAGTGGTACTAACATACTATAAACACTAATAAACATTTTTTCTTATAGGTTTTCCACTTGGTTTGTCTGAATATTGTATTAGAAGATTTAATCGTATCTTTGAATGGACGATAATACTGGAGGACGTAGGTTTTATGATCTAGTATGCCAAGAGAATTGGTCTTAGTTTTTGAACCCTCTAAACTGAGTTGTTTAATATAGTAGCCACTAGTCATATGTGGCTATTTGAATAATTGAGTAAAATTAAATTTTAATTCCTCAGTTGCACTACTCACATTTTAAGTGCTCAGTAGCCACATGTTTTATTGGACAATGCAGATACAGAATATTTCCATGGCAGAAAGTTCTGCTGGATAGCCCTATTAGGGACTATAAAAGCTAATCTAAATATTCAGCAGGCTTAGATCGAGAACATAATCAGGACATAGTAATAGCGTACACTGATCACAAAATAATGGCAAAAATGCCTTACCTTTGCTGATAAGTGTAAAAATACTATTTGCACAGAAAAATTTTACTTGCTTGTGGTAAAAAGAATGATCGTTAGTTATCCGTAAAATAAAGTTGCCTTATTACTACAAATAATTATAATTTATTTATGGAATCAAATACTTTGTTTCAATTTAATTTTTTTGTGTTTTAGACTACAATTGATTTTTATGTATAAACATTTTTTTGTAGGTTAGGCCCACGGTTCTATCCACAAATCTAAGATCACGTTTGTAGTAATTACAGATATATATTAACCTACTTTTACAGTAGAAAGGTAGGTTTTATTTTAGTGGATTCTAGTTTTCTCTCTCTCTCTTTTTTTTTTTTTTTTTATCTAAATCAGTTTACTTTTACTCATGGAGTAGTTAGCTACCTCCTCAACTGGAACAAACTTTTACTTTCCAGAGACTGTTTATAAGACTAAATGAATCTTTTTAGAACCATAACACATCTTAAATTCACCTTAGGATACTCTTCAAATGGCTGAGATTGTTTTAAAATCTCATTTTACATTAAAAATATTTTATGAAACTTTAAAACTTGAATATAAAATGTGCTTCAGAAAGTTTCAAACTCTGTACAACTCAAACTTGTAGTTCTTAATGCTATTACTCATCTTAGAAACAATCTCAAAATTATTTGACTGGAGGGCAAGCCTGCCACCAATAGTAAGAGGTGTGTCTTGTGGCCTCCACCCTCACCATCACAGAGGGTGAGTTGGAACATGTCTTAAAATATGCAGTAGAGCATCCTAATAGACAATTCTTTTTATGTAGACTTCATTGACTTTTAATAGCAAGATTTTTTGTGAGTATCAGTGTTGAGGTAATGTTATAGAAGGATCTCCCTAGTTATTGAATTAACTCAGAAAATAAATTTGTATGATGGAGTATATGCAAAATTACTTTTGTAATTTACAACAATATGACATTATTGGTTACTTAGGTTGGTATACCAGTGAGTCTGCTCCTAACATTTTCAGTAGGACTTATTTTATGTTCTGTTTTATTTTGTGCTTATTTCCATGATGGATAAGACATTCCTACAATAGAACTTTTATTCCCAGCACATTTGTGTATGTTTCATATTTTATTTTAAAATTTTAAAAAATTTTATTTGTATATAGTAGTTGCACAGGGAGATATGTTGTGATATTTACATATGTGTTTACCATATGTTTTAGTTAGATTTACCCCAACATTCTCCCCTCTTCCCTTAGAACAATTTCAACAGGTTTCATTCTTCTATTTTCATACATGAATATAAGATACATCTACCATATTCACACTTATTCACCCTTTACTTATGCCCACCCCCTTCTTACTGGTATTTACCCCCAGAAAAAAACTATTTTATCCTCCTGTCCTTCATTTTTTTAAAGTATATATAATAATCATCTTGGTACTTCAGGCCTGTATATATCATGCTTTAATCAAATGAACACCTCCATTATTTACTCATTCCCTATCATCATGCTCCCCTAATATTCAATAGCTTACAGTACAATATGTTATTTTATATTCATATATACATTAGTTGTTTCAATATTTTTCATTCTCTAACATTTTCTTTCCCTCTCTCACCTCCTGTAGTCCCCTCAGAAGGATTCACTAATACAATCTTATTCTTTCTCTCACTGTATATAAGTATGTGGGTAGCTTTTTCAACTTACAGACAATTTCTTTTGTTGGGCAGAAGCTTTTTAATTTCACATAGTCCCATTTGTCAATCCTTTCTCTTGGTTGCTGAGCCACTTGAGTTCTACTGAGACGGTCCTTGTCTATGCCTATTGCTTCCAGTGTATTCCCTGCTCTTTCCTGTACTAGATTCAGGGTTTCAGGTCTGATAATAAGGTTCTTAATCCACTTTGAGTTGATACTTGTACAGGGTGACAAACAGGGGTCTAGTTTAAGTTTTCTGCAGGCGGATACCCAGTTTTCCCAGCAACATTTGTTGTAGAGGCTATATTTTCTCCATCGTATGTTTTTGATACCTTTGAGAAAATTAGGTGAGCATAGCTGTGTGGTTCATATCCGGGTCCTCGACTCTGTTCCACTGGTCTTCATATCTGTTTTTATGCCAGTACATGCTGTTTTCATTGCTGTGGCTCTGTAGTATAGTTTGAAGTTGGGTATTATGATACCTCCAGCATTGCTCTTTTTGCTCAGTATTGCCTTGGCTATTCAGGGTTGATTTTTCAATCTTTGCGATAGGTGTCATTGGGATTTTCATTGGACATGTAGATTCCTTTTGGTAGTACAGCCATTTTTACTATGTTGATTCTGCCAACCCATGAGCATGGGAGTTCTTTCTACCTTCCGTAGTCTTCTTTGATTTCTTTCTTCAGTGGTTTGTAGTTTTCCTTGTAGAGGTCATTCACATCCTTTAAGTTTATTCCTAGATATTTGATTTTTTATTTTTTGAGGCTATTGTAAATGGAATTGTTTTCCTGTATTCTTTTTCAATCTGTTCATTGTTGGTGTATATAAAAGCTACTGACTTTTGTAAGTTGATTTTGTATCCTGATACTTTGCTGAAGCTGTTTATGGTGTTTATGAGTTTCTGGGTCTTTTAGGTATAAGATCATGTCATCTGTGAATAGGGATAAATTGACTACTTCTTTACCTATTTGTATTCTTTTTTTTCTTCTTCCTGTCTTATTCCTCTGGCTAGGAATTCCAGGAATATGTTGTATAGGAGTAGGGAGAGTAGGCACCCTTGTTTCACTCCTGATTTTAGGGGAAATGGTTTCACTTTTTCCCCATAGTATGATATTAGCTATAGGTTTTTCATATGTAGCCTTTATTATGTTGAGGTACATTCCTTCTATTCCTAATTTCATTGGAGCTTTTATCAAAATAAAAGTAGATTTCTCAACAGAAATCTTAAAGGCAAGAAGGGCATGGAGTGAGCTTATCTCCAGCACTGAAAGAAAACAATCTCAGCCCTAGGATACTCTACCCAGCAAAACTGTCATTCACAATTGATGGAGGAATAAAACTTTTTCACAATAAACAGAAGCTAAAACAATATATGATCCCCAAGCCACTGATGTCAAATATTTTGCAAGGAATTCTACACACAGAAGATGAAAACAAAGCCATGAAAGGACAGGAAGTATTAAACCATAGGAGAAGAAAAGACAAGTACTCAGAGAGTAGTATTGAATCGCCTGCACATACTCAAACCCTTAAACAATAAAAACAACTAAATGGCAGAAATCACTACATAGCTATCAATATTAACACTGAATGTTAATGGACTCAACTCCCCCCTCAAAAGACACTGTTCGGCAATCCAGATTAAAAAGGAAGGTCTGTCAATCTGTTTGGTTACAAGAGACCCACCTTATTGACAGAAATAAACACTGGCTTAGGGTGAAAGGCGCTGGAAGAAGGTTTATCAAGCTAATGGCCCCTGAAAACGGGCAGAAGCAGCAATACTTACATCAGACAAAAGTGAACTTCAAACTTACATTAATCAAAGGAGACAAAGAAGGTCACTTTATACTAATAAAAAGAAAAATACATCAAGAGGAAATAACAATTATCAACTTTTATGCACCCAACTTCATTAAACATAGACTAAAGGATTTAAAATCACATACAGACCCCAACACAGTGATAGTGGGAGACTTTAATACCCCTCTATCACCAATAGATAGGTCATCCAGATAAAAAAATCAACAAGTAAATCCAAGAATTAAATGACACCATAGATCAAATGGATCTAACAGATGTATACAGAATATTCCACCCTGCAACAGCACAATATACATTCTTCCCAGCTGCGCTTGGAACTTTCTCCAAAGTCGACTATCTCTTATGGCACAAAGCAAGTCTCAACAAATATAAAATATTGAAATAACCCCCTGCATAAGCTCTGATCACAATGCAATAAAACTAGAACTCAACAACAAAATCAGCAGCAGAAAATATGCAAACAATTGGAAGTTGAACAACACATTGCTCAACAATTGGTCGCTTATAGAAGAAATAGGGAGGAAATAAAAAAGTTCCTGGAATTTTTTTTTTTTACTTTATCATTTTTACATTTACTTACATGTGTGTACATTATTTGGGCCACCTCACACTCCCCCATTTTTCTTGTTCTCCAATTTTGTTGACGAAAATTGAGATAAGAGATAATAAGAAAAACATAGCATTTTTGCTAGTTTGAGATAAAAATAGCTATACAGAGATTCCCAGCATTGCTTCCATGCACATGTGTATTACAACCCACATTGGCTCATCTCTACCAGACCTTTTAACTACTTCCTGGTCCCCTTCCCTTGGTAGCCTCTGCCAGTTTAAGATTAC